TATACCAACAAATCTTAACTTTACCTCAAGAGTACGTCTACTACATGCAAATGCCGAATTAATAATGATGTACTATCACGTTAATTTAGTATTTCACGCCTCGAGTTCTTAGACCTCTGGACGCTCTGTCATAAAATCTACCACTGAAACTAAACGCACTCTCTATTCTGGAAATATTCTTCTCTACATCAATATGTTATTCAGTGAGGAATTAGCGGCAGGAAAATTAAGAAACTGTTTGTCCTGATCACTCAAGAAAGCCCTCTTTGAAATTGAAATTGACTTTCTCTAAAGTACCCGTGATTTGTATGAACATGAAGGATAAGGTATCACTCTTGGTACCATCAGTGTATATCTATCAATTCACTTGCACTTATAGAGCCAAGCATACTGACCGTACTCAGTGCATACAATACAAATATAATATCCAGCATTCATACTTATACCTTGACAAAGGCAAAAGATCCCTCTACAGCTCTATTCAGAAACTTCTGATCGATTTTCTCACACCAAACAAACTCGGACATCAACATCAGTGTCATCTACAGAAGGTGAGGAGAAATCACCAAAAAAGTATGAATCAAACTTTTCCGAACCAGTGGAAAATGTTTATTCTGTCAATGAACCTACAATCGACCAAATTTTTATGAAATATTTGACGCATAATTTTACATTATTTTGTCTCCTTTAAAAATACCACGTTTTTACTCTGCATGACACTGATCTTCCCATGACCCTCTTCCACTTCTAGCTGAGCTCTATGAACCCCCCGTTAATTATGTTATAGCATTCAACTGATTTATTAAACTTTATTTTAATGTATCGATTTTGCAGTTATTTGATTGGTTACATGTCTGGTCACAAGTTGACATCAGTCAGAATACTATTACTTAACCACCAGGGAGTATTGGACATGTAATTCGTCCTAGTTTGTACCTCTTCATTAGTACGTAGCCACTCAGGCGTTTGAACACAAGACCTGCCAGTTACAAGGAGAGATAACTCCATTATGGATATGATTATGAGCAATAGTTTGTGCTCGAAACGTCATCAGTTCATATAACTGTAAACACTGTGTGATTTATCAAAATAAAATCTTATCTATAATGAAGTTATATTCTACCACAGTGCCGAAGTTTTGATACTTATATGGATAAAGTTTTATTTTGATAAAGTCACAAAGTGTTACGTCTACAGTAATATTTACTGATGATCACGTTTCAAGCACAATTTATTACTGCTCATAGTCATCATATTGGGGCACTACTTATACAACTGTCTTCCTTCGTAGTTTATATACATGAGTAGAAATTGATTAGACATTTGCATAAAATCAATATAAGACATGCGTGTAACACCAAGGAAGATAAAGTACATTAGGAAATAGTATGAATGTTATCAAGGAAATACAATAAGATGGGAATCACGGCGAGTGTTGATATAAGCATACTTTTACTTATATCAATAATACATACGGTCTTCCTATTTGGAAGCTTATCAACAAACTCACACAACTTTGTCAAACAGAAGCAAGATTCACAAACCATCGGATTTTTAACAGTCGATGTTTAAAAAATCGTATAATTCCAAAATATTTGCGTATCGGTACTCCAATTACATCAGGAAAAATCATATCAGCGTCCGATCATGTCAGTAGATTATGTCTAAGAGAAGAACTACATCGAATTACTGTGAAACTAATAATAATGATAATATACGAAATGAAATTGAAAAACTCAAACACAAACTCAAAGGCATGGTCAATGACAAAGATTATGTAATTGTTGTTGAAACATCAAAAAAAGCTAGAGAGCCAGCATTAAGAAAATTAAAAACCACACAAATCAAAAAATTCAACAAACTAATGGAAGAAAAGGATACAATAAATGAATGTGACGTCAGCGTTTCATCCTTTATTGACAGAAGAAAATGGGTGATCAACCTCTCATCAAGGAAACTAAGCTCTAGTGAAATGAAAGTACTTGAGAAAGGACTAAATTCCAATGGAGAAGTTAGTAAATTATAAACCAGAGGATGTCATTCCTGACACAGAAGTTGCACTAAGTTCATTAGATAAGGCGACAGCAGAAGAGGTTTGAGCACAGTGTGTTTTAACCCTGGAAAATCAGAAGAAAGCAAAATCAAATTTAACAGCATCGGAAAAAGTAGCTCTAATTAGTTTAAAAACATTGTCGCAAAAACTGACAAAGGAAACGCCACCGTAGTTCTGAATAAATCTGACCATATCAAGAAAGTCACTGAACATATTGGGATGGCTTCATATTAGGAAATTAAGAAGCCTGTAGATACAATAATGAATAAGGGCTAAGAAATCTACAGCGGAATTAATAAGGTGAGTGTTGTTAGTCTAAAAGATGGGAAATACGATGTTTTTAAAGTAAAATAAATAAATATCTTGTTAGAATGTTATAATGTGAATTGAAATACATCTTAACACTATTTATTATCCTCCTTTGATTTGACTGAAGGAAATAATCTCTTCCATATCTCTCTGGTATTTGAGTCGAGTCGCTTCAGTTGTATCTGTTGGGTGTAGACTCGATGATCCAGACAGGATTCAGTAATCAATCTCTCATGCCCTCCACCCGCACCTACTTATATTACATTTTAGAATTTTGACACTGTACCACCCACCCTATTGTGTGGTTGTGTGTTAATGCATCTAGTGCGATTACTGAGATCTTTTCTTAAATTACATGTCTTCGTCAGATCAATCAAACTAGTAGATCAGAGTAGTGAAATTATCAAAATATAAGAATTTAGCTAAGTTTAGAACGATTGATCCCACGATGATAAATAATTTAGAAAAAAAAACTCAGCATTGCATTGCACTGAATGCATTAATACACAAGCACACAATAGGGTGGGCGGGACAGAGTCGAAATTCTGAAGAGTAATATAGGTCGGTGGTAGGTGGAGAGAGAGAGAGAGAGATTAATTACTGAATCCTAGATCATCAAGTCTCTACACCCAACAGATACAATTGAAGCGACTCGACTCAAATACCAGAGAGATATGGAAGATATTATTTCCTCCAGTCAAATCAGAGGAGGATAATAAATAGTGTTAAGATGTATTTCAATTCACATTATAACATTCTAACAAGTTATTCATTTTACTATAAAAACATCTTAATTCCCATAACATTCTATTTTAATATTAGGTTCACTATTATTTCTGAATGCACTTACATTAATTTTATTCAGATGTCTAATCAATCTTTACTTATTATATATCTAAGTGAAGCAGGAATGTTGTGTGTTTAGTGCCTTGATATCATTATGAGTATATCAGTAGTACAAGGGGGGGGGCGGGGCGGGGAGATCGCAAACCATATAGCCGCTGTCAACCAGTGCTATGACTTATGATACATAGTGTTCAGAATTCTCAGCATAAAATCGATTGGATAATTTTTCCTCATATTAAGAATCTTCAAACAGCGCAGTTAGTTCTGAAATATACACTAACCGCCTTCTGGTATTTCTCCTTCGTCGATGCGAAATGTGTGAGAACATTTTACGACTCAAGGATATTATTGACTGATAAAGACAAGAGAGAGAGAGAGAGTTAAGAGAGAATATGCTGCGTTGTGTTGGGTTGAAATTTACATAGCCGACTAGCTCAAGCAAGTCACTATATAAAATTTGACAAAGTTCAACAATAGAGTCCCAAGGGATGCGAACGCACAATGACCTTGAGCCGACCAATCAGAAAAAAGGAGGATTTTTGCATAAAATTTTACGTATATTTACACAAAAAAGCATTATACAGGATATTTCTGTCTAATATGAGATAAAAAAGTCTCCCAGTTATATTGAGGAGTATCAGTTTTTAAATTAAACCAATTTCTATACATATATTCGTGCAGATGACTAAAAATGACTTCCTTTTGAGAGCCGTTTATAGCTCTGATTCTATTTTTTAGTCTTCCCCAGAAACTGGAACCATTGCACAGTAGACGGTAAGGTATTGTCTGTCTGGGCTGCAGTTGATCACACTCCGGTCTTCAAAATCCAGTAGTGACATAGAAACAGGATATTCGTCAACGAAAGTTTCGATTTTTCGAAGAAAGTTACTAAAAGATAATCAACTGACAGTGTCACTTACCAGTGCGAACACATGTTCGCTTCCTACACTGTATACACCTGAATATATATCCATCAATGGCCTGGGTATACGGCTGCAGTTTCATAGAAGCACCGCAACTACAAATCCGAGCATATCCTATTAACCCATTGTCTAAACAGTACTGAAAAACATGCTCTGGCTGAAATTTGCATCTGAGCAGATGCACAGGCGTCATTTTTGCGCTAGAATAATGGGAAGGTTCCTCAAACAATGACTAGCATGCGTTCAAGGTCATTGAACGTTGAAGGTTTTGGCACGTTATTCTTAAACTTCGCCTAAAATTTCTGCTGATGGTTCTCTAACTGATGTTAGCCCATGATTAAACTTATAACCAAACAAATCTCTGCACGTTTACCTTTCAAAAATCAATTTGATGCTCACTAGCAACTGGTTGTGTACCTAAAATTCTAGTGAAAAGTCGTAACCAGCGGGGTTAACCAAGTCAGATGAGACGGCAGTTACTCATTGGCATTTGTGCCAGTCAGGCTATTCGTTCGGGTTTATGAGCTCTTCTCCTTTTCCTGCTCCGACTTAATTTACCGATTTCAGTGAATAAGTCTTGCTAGTCTATGGTAGTAAATGCTGTTTCGTAGTTACACCTGGGCAGCAGGAGTAGGCTTTAGAATTTAACACATATACAATTGCATCTTCCTTGTTTTCCTAGTCTGTTGTATTAGAATTGCTTCGTCTTTAATCAAATTCTTGTTAAAAAAGAAGAGGATAATAAGTTCAGCAAAGATATCTTGCTTTTCGATGATTTCACTTTCAAAAGCTGTAAAATCGCATTTAAATACATAATTTTACATAGATACAAGTTTTACTTGATTTCATATAATTACAAAGGCGAATAAAAAGTGACAATTATGTTAACTCTAAATGGAAGTTAAGAAGTGTGAATATGGATTACATGAGCCCTAGGAACAAAAATTACACAGGATTAGGATATAACTGTAAAATAGTTATTTTAAACGAATTACAAGTGTGAGCAGGAAGAGCATCGAAATCAACTTAAAATAACTGTTCTTATAACTGAAAAAATGGGATGAAATCAATGAGGACAAAGAGGGAAGAATCACGCACACAGTGAACGAAAAAAATCAAGGAGAAAGGGAACACATCGTATTAGGTCCACGGTAGTTGTAGCAGTTGGACTAATTTCTTTTGAACACACAGCTCCCGCTTTTTGATGCATAATGCGAGGGCTTCTGCAGTACAGAGAAGACGGAAACACACTACTTGGGGTAGGTTACTGTTGACTTTGTAAATTACTTTGAATGAATCAATTGAGATGTTGATCACATGTTCACTAATGGCACTTCTGATTGAACCGGTGCATTCTGTTTGCAGTCATGCTGGGTAATGTTCCGTGACACGTTTTGAAAGGACGCGCATACAACGACCTATGTACTTAGCGCCGTACGAACAGGTGAACTGGTACATGCAAACTGGACTAATCATATGCGAGAGTTTATCCTCCGCATTGTTTAGAAGTATTGGGTGGCTAGAGAACATCACTTTTGCTTCAGGGGATGTCCACTTTAGACAGCAGGATATTCTCCTCTTTAGGATATCGACTGCCGAACCTCCCATGAAATTCAGATTCATATACAGCGTTTTCTTCGGAGCTGAATCGCATTCTTCTCTTTTCGGTTTAGGTTTCATATCTTTTTCCACAAAACGTGTCAGATAACAGTTTTGGGCTAGGATATTTTTAACGAATAACAGCTCCCTCTCTTTCAAGCAATCGCTGCTGCAGATTTTTCTAATGCAATGAGTTAGAGCGCTGACGAGAGCTCGTTTTCGGCTCAAAGGTATCGAACCATAGAAATGCGTTAGTTGGCCATCGTTCCACATTCGTTTTCTGTGGATGCATCTCCTCAGGGTTCCATCATCTCTTAATGTTAATTCCACGTCAAGAAATGGAATCTTTAAATCGTTTTCTAATTCCATTGTGAATTTAATCAAAGGATGAGAATTATTAAATTTTTGTAAGATACAACTGAAGTTGGAATTATCGTAGCAGACTATAGAGGTATCGTCGACATACCTTTTGTACATTAGTAATCTTGTTGGCGTTCATTCAAACTGGTATACTAAAGCAGTATGCTTTGAAATCACTCAAAATGTAGACAGGAAGTTATCTAGTAAATATTGCCTGACTATCCCGAGCAATAATTAATTGACTTCACTTTCTGCTATTTTTTTTAAAATAAATAGCTAATTTAATAATTCTATCCAAAAGGTTAACTTCCGATCTCATTATAAACTGGAATGTCTAACTAAAACAAAAAACAACAGGACAAAAATTATACAATAAAATCAATAATTTATAGTTTGAAATAACACTCTTACATCTAGTCTGTTTGCTACTGTCCAATAGGAACAGCGGAATTCAAGGTCGTCCAGGCATACATCCTATAATTTGATTTCTAGTGGATTTTATTACTATTAGCCATTCTTTTATTTTGTGTTTTTTTAAAAGTTATTTTGGTTTTCGTTTGGCTTCAAGATACACACCGATTGTTAGGAATGTTGGAATCTGACTGAATAAAGCAAGAACAACAGTATGGTTTGTGTAGAACAATAAAATGATACAATTATTCTCGAAAGCTTAGCTGATCACAGCCCAAAGTCATTATTGAGTCAATAACAATAAGATGCTTATACTGTAATAATAATAAAGATATAGTAGTAAGTAGAATATTAACTAGAATTAAGGAAATTTCTACAAAAACTGAGGAGCATTCAAACCTGAATGGTCAAGATAAGGGTGATGTCTCAACGTACTATTTTTAGATGCACAAATTAGGCTTGTTAATATGGATCTGAACAGCCTTAGGAAAATTAAGTAGTCGAACTCTTAGGGCTAAATTGAGATTCGTAGATATGCGGTAAATGACCCTGGAAGCCTGGTTAACGTCAATCTTGTGTTGCATATCCATAAGATGAGATTGAATAGCGCCACAAATAGGTTTTGTTTGTCCTTTGCTTAGCCAGACGGGGTGATGTTCGGAAGTCGAACGAGAAACACGCCTAATTGTACGTCCCAAGCAGGTCACTGACTCCACAGCAGCAGTTAAGTTGATACATACACATGGAAGAGGGGAAATTAGACAGTTAATCTTCTACTCCTGAAGGCAAAATAAGGGTGGGTGATTTTGAATACACACCATAATTCAGCGGTGGGGAATACTCTTTTTACTGCATTTCTAAGGCCTTGTGTTAGCATATCTCTGGTGTTATCCCCAAGGAAATGAATTTGTTTGTAAGAATAATGCGTCATATTCCTGTTAATAAACTTGTTTGGATAACCGTTCTCACTCAATAACCGTTTAATATTATTAAATTCCTCATCCAGACATTCATCCGAGCAGTTTGTTCCTCCTCTTTGAACCAAACACTTTATCAGACTGAGTTTGTATTTTGAAAGACACGAAGCTGGGAAAATGAGTATACTTACAGTCATTTGGTGTAGGTTTGTTTCTATGCACGCCTTCTTAACGCCTCATCCTCTTTTCTTGTCATGAGGATGTCTAGAAATGAGATAGTAGAGTCAATTTCTTTGTCGATGGTAAAATTTAATGAGGGATGAACCTGGTTAAATTTCCTCAGGATGTTCTATGTTTCCTCCTCATTTTTCAAGATCAAAAATGTATCATCTATGTACCGGGAGTAGAATTCAAGTTCATCCGTTGCATCCTTCAAAGGTTCATTTTGTAGTTTCGCAAGGAAACTGTCGGCTAGAATGGGACCTACTGGTGACCCCATGTAGGTACACCATCCATCCATCTGTGTAGTTCCTTGTTGATTGAAATGTGGAAATTGACTGTGTATTTCAAGAGAAGTTCTTTTATAAATGAAGTAGGAATGTGGATATCGATGTTTCATCTTATGAGTTCTTCGCATACAAATTCTACTGTTTCCGTAAATGGTACACTCTAGTGCGTCGGTGGCACAGTGGTTAGGACTCAAATGGTGTCATGAATTCATTATCAACATATGAATCTTTTATGCTTTCAACAAATGCAAAAGTATCCTTTTCACTGTGTTTCACCATCTCAGTATGAAGAGGCTGTAATTGCTCGACTAACCATTTGGCTACGAGATGGTGTGGTGAATTTGACATATCTAATACTAGTCGAAGTGGTAAACGAACCATTTTGTTCATTTTAGGCAAGGGATATAATCTTGGCATGAACGTCCCAATGGGTTTCAGTGATGTAAACTTACTCTGTGAGTTAAAGCCTTATTGTTTTGAGTGTTCTCAACGTTTTCGCTAACTGTTTCGCCATCTTTTCAATCAGATCCAGAGAAGAGTAGATTTTTGGAATTTTAGATTATCTTTAGGAATAGAATTCATCTTCTCAAAGTGATCGGCTTTGTTTAAGATGACCACTCACTCCTGAACTCTTATTCGGTCTTGTTATTATTATGTTATCACTTTTACGGAGAACATTCATAGTTTATCTATGTTTTTCGGTCCAATACTATCCGAATTGCGTTTACTATTCATGTAATAATAGCAAGAATCTACCAGTATTGATTTAAGTCTTTCAACATCTTCAGCTGATGAGAATTTTAGGCCTTCCGTTTGAGCTGAGACACTTTCAAATTTGTGCATCCATTTTGTTAATGTTTACACGGCTATCAAGTAATTTAGGGACAAACGATAAAATCTGTAGATGAACATCACCAAGTATAACATCCGAAAAATTAGACACAAAATGATTTGGGTTTGGAGGAAATCTTCTTTTAGGTGCCTTGTTGTCCAAACTCGGTAACAGCTTCCTGCGTTTCTTTACTTTTCTATTAGTCACAATTACATCCACATAATCTAAAAATAGTTTCTATAAGTTTTCTGGTAATTCGTCGACAGCATAGAAGCTTTATGTTACGTTCTTCGATAACTCAGTAATATTTAGAACAAAACATTTAAGCGAAGAATATTGCTGTTTTCAATTAGATCTCATCATTCGGCCTAACTCTAATGTATATATGAGTTTACAAATAAAATTCAAATATAAACCAATCATATTGTTTTGTCTATAGGATAGATAATACAATGGTGAATATAAACTGTGCAATTCGCCATAATAGTAGTAATGATAATAATAATAGTAATAATGGTCTTATCAATAATAAGGATGAAAAAGTGAGGCAATCTGTGATAACACGAATGATGAAAAAACAGCATGATTAAACAAACAGATGTTCAGGTGGAAGTAGTCGATAAAGGCTAGTAAAAACAAATGAACCGATTAAGTAATGTTAGATTGTAAGGGAACGAAATGAGACACGTTCATAATGAAGATGTGATAAGATTAAGGGACGATAAGAGAGGGAGGGGTCGAAAATATAAACAAGGGGTGGTGTAGAAGTCACTAGTTGGTTATGTCCTAATAAGCCAACAAGGGAGGGATAGTGGCTGTACGAACTTCTTTTGAATGTACAGCTTAGGCTTAATAGTTGCTCGAATGCCTATCGCATAAGTTGTGTGAAGTAGATGAATACAAAGTCTATTGGATTGATTCGGTGGGATACGATGTATTACTTTGAAGGCTCTCTTTTTCTCGACTCTATGACTACTATCAATTGAATGTGTCAGATTTGAGCTACGGATTGTTTTTGAGACTACGTATGATTGGGACACAAACGAAGGATAAGCTTGTTTGTTTTGCCACATCTATGAGTATTTATCAATTCAACTGCACCTGCGGTGATAGTTATTTTGGGCGTACTAATAGACAGCTTAGCCAACGTGTTAGTGAACATCTCCCATCGTGGTTTGGCAAAGGACAGACAAAAACAATCCGTAGCTCAAACGAAACAACTTCATACTGTCAATATGTCGATGACATATTTGTAGTGTACAACAATGAAAGTTATGCTTCACACTTACTCAGATTATGCAATGATGCACACAACAATATTGAGTTTACTTTGGATCATGAAAGTGACGGAAAGTTACACCTCTTCGACATCGCCATGCAACGCCTAGAAGGCGGTAGTCTTCAGAAGTCAAATTATCGAAAGCCTACATGGAAGGGAAAATACCTACATTTTAATAGTTTTTATCCAAATAGCTTTGAATGCGGACTAGTCAAAACTCTGTTCTATAGAACGAGGAGAATATGCTCTATATAGGAATTAGAGGAAGAATTAATGTTTCTTGAAAAGATGTTGAAGAGTAATGGTTGCCCTCAAAAGTCCACTAAAAAGTATGGAAGATCTGAAGTTTCAAATGTAAAACAAATCACAATGGCGAAAAAGCCAATCTACATTCAACTTGATTATAAAGGTGGAAACATTGCAGCAATGGCCAGCAGAAGACTGAGTACGTTACTAGCCAGTGCCTATCTTGCAGCTATGCTCGTTCTCGTCTGCTGAACATCTTGCTATGTAATCTAATCAAAAATCGATGGATATCCTCCTCTTGTTAACTCCAAATGTATTTACAAATTTTCATGTATCTGAGGGATCATTTACATCGGAAGGACAGAATAAGGGCATATCTACGATTTTCTGAACATGTATCAGAAAGCTTATTTCAAGAGGGAACAAATAGTTAAAATAGTGCCATCACCAGGCATCTCCTTGATAATACGGGTCATGAGGTGGATGTTGCAAGATCGTTCAAAATCACCAATTAGCAAAAGAGCTCAATTCTCCTCAAGTTTGTTGAAGCCATCTCCATCAAGCACCTGAAACCTGATTTGCGCGTTCAGAAAGCAACAGTTCTCAGTTTTTTTGCCCTGCCTGGTAACTGGATATTCTCGCCTCTCATCTGATTACGTAGCGTCAAAAGTTTCTATTGTGTATGATCACTATTGTTCGGAATAGTGTTTGATATTATATATATATATAAAATTACTGTCTGCACATATTGATTGATTTTTGTTCAAAAATGAACACTATGCAAGGGTGTTAAAATTGTTTCTGTACATATATTTAAAAATGAAATTGGCCTGTGAGCAGCTGATGAAATGCCAAGGTAATAGATAAATGATTGTTTGATTTTATTCCGCAAATCTGTAGTTCTTGCTTAATTCACATTCGATATTTGACCACCTGATCGAAACCAGCCACAAAGCTAATAGTGTGGAATACTGATGAAGAAGGGGTTATTGAAAAGAATATTCTTTTTTCAGTAACTATTCGTTTGAGGACTAAGATTTGTCGAAACAATATAAACCTACTGGTTAAGTGTCTTCCTTCAGACATTCAGTAACCAAGAATTTTTATGATAAAAAAGGTCACCAAAATTTT